GGCATCAAAATCAAGATCATAGATACCTACTCCCGCCCTAGAAAGCTCGCCCAAGCGAGGGATCTCTGTGGCCTCTGGGAACTGGCGACGCCACGTGTCCGTCAGGCGGCCAAAGCAGCGCTGGGTGGGGTGCGCACCCCCACATTGCTCACCCGCACGGTCGCCGGTGCGCAGGACGTAGGTGCACGGACCAAACCCCCCACCCCGCTGGCGTGCAGTGTACCACTCACGGAGCTGCTAAGGGGAGAGGGTCTCACGCCCGTGCTGCTGCTGCTGGCGCTGACCACCACCGGAGCCACTCCTCTGCGTAGACCCGCGACCAGCTCCACCGCCACCCCCGCCGCCTCCACGACCTCCGCCGCCTCCGCTACTACCGCCGCCTCCGCCGCCTCCTCCACTGCCACCACCTCCGCTACCTCCGCTCCCACTGCCACCGCCGCCGTCGCCTCCGCCTCCACTGCCGCCACCGACACCTCCACCCCCACCTCCACTCCCACCGCCACCCCCACTCCCCCCACCGCCTCCACCTCCACCTCCACCGCCCCCGCTCGCTCCTTCAGTGCCCCTGCCCCCCTTGCTATTGCCAGAGCGACGTCGCCCGCTAGGGGCAGACGACGCACCGACCGACTCAAGCCCAAGGAGGTCGGCCGTAGCAGCAGAGGCAACAGAGGGCAGAAGGGGGGAGGGGGAACACCCCTCAAAGATGGGGGTGCGCAGGTCACCACGAGAGGCCCCTACAGCGACGATGCTCTTCTCGGCCGCTAGGAGGGACTTCTCGAGGAGGTCAACAGTGAGAGTGGTGGGACAGACAGAGAGAAAGTGGTCCCTGACTACGCGAAGGGAGTCAGGGAGGCGAGTGACTAAGTAGTAGAGAGTGATGTACGGGGGGGTTCTTGGCGCAGAAGTCAGCAGGAAGCGCAGCGCGGTAGCGAGTGTCACTAGTGCGGAGGTGCTTAATGAGGTCAGCAACTATGGGAAAGGCAGCAAGGTCAGGGAAGAGGTACGGTAGCATGAGACCGCTCAGTGCAGCAGTGGGGGTGCTAAGCCTGGGGGTGCTGAGCCTGGGAGTGCTTAGCCTGGGGGTGCTGAGCCTGGGGGTGCTGAGCCTGGGGGTGTTGAGCCTGGGGGTGCTGAGCCTAGGGGTACTGAGCCTTGGGGTGCTGAGTCTGGGGGTGCTGAGCCTGCGTGTGCTGAGCCTGGGGGTGGTGAGCTTGGAGGTGCTCCGCCTGGAGGTCCTCCGGGTGTTTCGTCTCGCCGGGAGCCACTCTCTCCACAGGAGCTGCGCGAGTGGTTTGCCCGGCGCTGTAGGCGTGCTGCTTGTGCTGGAGGTTCTTCGGCTACTGAGGGTGCTGCTGTCGCGGGTCCTGGAGGTGCTCGTACTGGGAGTACTGGAGCTGCTGGGCCTGCAAGGTTGACTGGAGCTGGTGCTGCTGAGGGTGTTGGCGCTGAGACTACTGCTGGCGGTCCTGCTGGGGGTACTCCTGGTGGTGCTGGAGATTCTGGAGCTGCTGGAGGTGCTGCTGGAGCGGGTGCTCCTGCTCGGAGTACTGGTGCTGTCCCTGCTCTGTCTGGCGTCGCCGCGCGGCCTCGACCGTACTTCGTTCCACTCCTGCAGCAAGTTCTTGGTCTTCCGCCTTCTACTGGTCCTCCTCCTTCTTTAGAGTGTCCACAGCCTGTCCCGTCACAGTTCTAGTTGCAGCCTACCTCCCCTTTGCCTGCTCCTTCTCCCTACTCTGGTCCTACTGGAGGTCTTGCTGAGCGTCGTGAGCATGCCTCTCGCCCTGTGTCGCTTGTCCGTGCTGTTCGCGCTACTGGTCGTGGTTCGCGTCAGCGTCCTCCTCCTGTCCCTGGCACGCACAGGATGTCTCTGCGTCCGTCCACTGCTCCTCTGCGTGCCCCTTTGCCTTCTCCTCTTGAGTCCTCTCTTCCTGCTTTTGCCGACCCAGAGTCGGACTCTCTTCGTGTTGCCAGTCCTACTGTCACACGTCTCCTTGCTACTGTCATCACTGACCCTTCTTTCGAGTCCACTGCTGCGTCTGCCCTAGTTGCTGAGCTCGTCGACTTTGCTGCTCGCTGTCGCCTAGACTACGCTGCCAGTCTTGTCGCTGAGTCTGAGTCTGTCTGTCCTCCGTCCGTCGCGGGTGAGTGTGCCCTTGGCACGGATGTCCTTGAGGACAGGCAGGAGGAGTTCCAGTGCTTGGCCGCTGCTTCACCTCATCTCGTGTCCGTACTGCTTACCCCTGAGGGAGACCCGGATGCACTAGACATCCCGACTCCGCGCTCTTACGCGGAGGCGATAGAGGGTCCCTACTCCTCTCAGTGGCAGGCAGCTATGGATGCAGAGATGGCTTCCTCGAAGTCCACAGGCACCTACGTTGACGCTGTCCCCCCTCCTGGGGCGAACATCGTCAGTGGCATGTGGATCTTTAGGGTGAAGCGGCCGCCGGGTTCTCCGCCTGTCTTCAAGGCGCGTTACGTGGCTCGTGGTTTCAGTCAGCTGCAGGGAGTTGACTACTTTCAGACCTTCTCCCCCACCCCGAAGATGACAACTCTTCGGGTACTGCTGCACGTTGCTGCTCACCGTGACTACGAGCTGCACTCTCTCGACATCAGCACAGCTTTCTTGCAGGGCAACCTGCACGAGGAGATCTGGCTGCGTCGCCCACCTGGCTTCACCGGGTCTTTCCCTCCTGGTACCCACTGGAGTCTCCGGCGACCAGTCTACGGTCTCCGCCACGCGCCACGTGAGTGGCACGACACACTGAGGACTACGCTTGCGGCTCTTGGGTTTGCTCCCTCTACTGCCGACCCGTCGCTGTTTCTGCGCACCGACACCTCACTGCCGCCGATCTACATCCTCGTGTACGTCGACGACTTGGTCTTTGCCACAGCTGACACTGCTGGACTCGCCTACGTGAAGTCCGAGCTGGAGAGAGACACACGTGCACAGACCTGGGTGAACTGCGCAGCTACCTTGGCTTGCAGATCACCCGGGACAGAGCACGCCGCACCATTACCCTGACTCAGTCACACATGGTGCAGCAGGTCCTTCAGCGCTTCAGCTTCACGTACTCATCGCCTCTGGCCACTCCTCTGCCTTATCGCCACTCACTCTCAGCTCTGCCTTCGGATGAGTCCGTAGAGTTGAGTGGCCCGTATCGAGATCTTGTTGGCTGCCTCATGTACCTGATGACTTGCACACGACCTGACCTTGCATACCCTCTTAGCATTCTTGCACGCTATGGTGCTCCTGGGAGACACCGACCAGAGCACATGGCTGCAGCGAAGAGGGTGTTGCGCTACCTGTGCAGTACGTCGGGCATGGGGCTAGTGCTTGGAGGGCGGAGTCCAGTGGTCCTCACTGGGCACGCGGACGCTTCTTGGGCTGACGACCAGGCTACGCAGCGGTCGTCACAGGGTTACACCTTCAGCCTTGGTTCCGGCTCTGTTTCGTAGCGGGCTACTGGCTCGTCTTCTGTTCTCGGCTCCAGTTGTGAGGCTGAGACCTACGCTAGGGCCATGGCTGCACAGGAGCTTCGCTGGCTCACCTACCTGCTGACCGACCTCGGAGAGCCCCCTCGTTCTCCTCCAGTTCTGTACGTAGACAACAAGGCCATGCTGGCCTTGTGTCGAGAGCAGAGACTGGAGCACAGAACAAAGCACATTGCTCTGCGCTACTTCCTTGCTCGTGAGCTACAGCAGCGTGGACAGTTGCGGCTTGCGTACGTGGCCTCTGAGGCCAACACTGCTGTTGTCTTCACCAAGGCACTTCCACCTTGTGATCATCAGCACTTCTGCACTCAGCTGGGTCTTGTCCCTGTCTTGCCTCACTTGCTCACCTCTTGACCTTACTTGTACTGTTTCCTATATATATTTACCTGCTGCTGCTTGTCTAGCCTTATATATATATGTACTCCTGCATGTGAACTGGCCTCGTGGCCTTGAACTTGTGCTCGGAATGTGTGGTGACTTTGTGATCCACCCTGAGCTTTGCTTTGCTTTGCTTGACTGGTCTTGTGACTCCCTGTTCTTCCCCACTTTGCCTATGGGGGTGTGTTAGAACATTGTAGCTTATGCTTTTGTGTAGGCTATAGCAGGGTATCCCATAGGGGGTACAACCCAATTAGGGTTAGTACTTGTACTCGCTTCATCCATAGTTCATTCATTCTCGTTCTAACTTTCACAACACGCATAAACGATGTACTCATCGTACAAAATCTCCACTGCACCTTCCAATCCAAAGCACAACTGTCTGCTTGCGGAGTCACATTGATCACCCGACATGCCTAATCAGAAACCGGTTCATCCGACATGCATACCACCTTTTTAGGAAATGTGCGAAGGCATAAATAGGGGGATTATAGGGTAATCGTCCAATTGCTTCATGGAGGGTTAGATAAGTCAAAAATCTGTGCCCCTCCAGAACCTCTCCTTCAATGGTGAAACATGTATTATTTTTACTTTTCTAAAAGCTTTTTAGGAAAGCTTCCATTCTTATGTTTTTGTTTGGTTGTTGCTCTTACTATGTATGTCTTCTACTATGAGTCACGATGCCACTGGTGTGTTTGACGTAAGCTTGTTGACACAGTACTTGATACATAAGAACCTAGCATTCAATCAGACATAAGAAATCTGTTTGGCTTTTTGCTGACATAAGAGATGCCTTTCAGAATATACGCATTCCGTTACAGCTAATGTCTGTTCGAGCCCCTCCCGGTTGCCTTGTGAAGGGGGTATGTAAGCTAAACCTGCATTTCGCGTAGGTTTTGTTCGTTTCGTCAGGCTTTAGGTGTGCTTCAACACTGAACATGGTAACCATCCGATTTGTCCGATTCTCAACAGTACTGGTTCCCCTACTTATCCATGCTGTGTGTTACACGTTACTCAGCGAATGCTACAACAATGAAACGACCAGCTTCATCAAATGTTCCTCATAGTACCAAACTACCAAAACACGATACACATCCAATTAGCATCTCCCACATGTCCCTCAGCCCCATTCAACTCCAGCATCGAAACACGCACAAATGTGCACAAGGAGTGAACACTTGTGCACTGCAAAATGCCTTCAGCTCATTGCACAGTGGCCTCAGGCACAACTCACAGGCGCATCCATTCCGCCGCGTCAACATACCCGTCCATCACGGTGCCCACACCGGCGTCAAGCAGCAGCTGAGAGCAGGACGGATGGTTCATCCAGCTAGGCAGCACATGGCCGCGCGGACGAGGGGCCTCGGGCGTGGGTGTAGCGCCGGGGGTAGGCACTGGCGAAGGGGCCACGTTGAGATTGAAAGCTGGGCTTGCCCACTCCATCCTCTCGATAATGATGGGGTTGCGGATATCGAAGAGGTGGCAGAGGTCGCGCGGCGTGATGCACGTGGCGCGAGCATATCCGATGAGCATCTCGCATGCCGCCCGGGCAGTGCGCCGCGCTTCACGGCCCACGGGGTCGACATCGTCGTAGACAGCCTGCATGGTTGTCGGCGCCTCCCAGAGCTCCACCACCAGGCCTGCCTCCGCCTCCGCCGTCGTCTGTTCCGCCGCGCGTTCGGCGCACGTCGGCTCGGCGTCGTCGATGGCGACGTACTCGGCGGCCGTCATCGCGCCGTTGCCAAGGCCGAGCCCACTGATGAGCGTGCCGACATCGTTGATGTTGTCATCGAGCTCAATGTCAGGATAGACGGCAAGGATGGGCTCGTTGTCGTGAACGTGCGTTAACTCCATAGACCACGACAGCGGGAGACATCCCTTGCGCCACCAGCACCTCTGGATCGTGCGCGCACCGACACTCGTCCACGCATCCGACAACCACCCCAACACTTCGCGCAGGTCCGGTCGGTACGGCGCGACAACGCTTGTCGCCCCGTCGGCGTTCCAAAGAGCCGTGAAGGCCCGCAGCCAGTGCTGGCGGTAGCGGACTTTTGCGATGGCAATTATGCCCTAGTCAAGGGGCTGGGTGAAGGCAGTGGTGTTCGGCGGCAGGACGACGAGACGGACGTTGCTCAGGCAAGTCGTCCTCATACCGCAAACAATCTCGCTCCACGCGTGCTCGCTCCGTAGCATGTGCGAGCTCGCGTTGTCAAGCAAAACGGCGATGTGGCGTCCTTCCGCGTACATTGTAGCATTGAGCTGCGAAATGAAATGAGTGAACAACTGTCGGAGGGGAAGGGCAGCCAGGGGATTTTGTGAGGAATGCAGAGTTAAAAAACCAGCGGGAACACATATAAAACAACGTTGCTCCCTCAAACGAAGAAAAATGTGTGCCGGTGCCGTCATCCAACCCTTGGCATTGTGACGCCAGTAGCACAGGGCTTCGGGATCGTAATCCGGCCGGAAATCATGCGGTCACTTCGCCTTGCTGATGACCAACGAGCGGAACACGTGGCTCCCGTCCGCATTGACAAGGAACGCCACGGTCAGACGCTCCTTCGACACTTTGCGCCCTAGAATGCGACCATTGCTGTATGTTCGCCTCGGTAGCACGGACAACCAGAGCGCGGTCTCGTTCAGGTTGAACGTGTCGCGCGGGCTGAGGCCGAGGTGAGTGAGAAGTTGCGGCAGCTTCGCCCGGGCGTCGCGCACGGCGGCCATGTCAGCGCTGGCCGCCTCGCCGGCTGAGGCACGGCACCTCACCCCCTGGCGCCGCAACGCACGGCGCACCCAGCCGATTGAGCAGCGAAACGTGGGCGGAATGCCCATGTTCCGCGCCATGGTGGTCGCCGGATTGTCTGCAGCGTCATAGGGATGCCAGCGGGCCCAGCGTTTGCGATCCAACGCGTCATGGCCTGCTCCAGCTCAGGCCATGCGCCGCCTCGGCGGCGCACTTGGTTGTCGCCCGTCGCCACGACAACCCAGCGCTCGGCGTACTTCAGAATGCGCCCATACGTTTCGCCAGACTGACTTCTGGCCTCAAAACAAGGCAAACCAGGGTCGGCCTACCTTGTTGGGGACTGCACGTGTGTTGGTGGCTGCAGCGCATGTACTGCACGCAGCCATCCAGGTGCCTGTAATGTGGGAGCAACAAGCAGGGGTTTCGAGCTCGGGGGCAGCGTTTCCATATGGTGCATGGCAGATTCGCGTGCACTGGTTGGGCATCAATTGTACTTAGCAGTTGCCACCCCGCTTTTGGTCAAGGGAACAAAGATGAAGTGCTACAAAGCCTTTGTCGTTCTCTGTTCGCCCACAGACGTGCCTGATTAGTTACTCTACGAATCTGTTCGCTCCAACTTCACTATTGGTAAGAATGCCCCTGCGTTCAACTGTTACACACTCGACAGAAAGACCACTGACGACATTTGTTCTGTACTGGTAACTCCTCTGGTGGGGGTTCGGCATCTTCTAGACTATCATTGAACGCCGTGACCTAGAATCGAGAAAAGCCAACCAGCTCTTGTCTGGTCGAATACAGTGTGTACACCCTGCTCCTCATGTCTCGAACACCACCCTCACCCTGCTCATCCCACCTTTTTAGCCGCGCTTCACAAAATCACATAACGCTTATTTGCGAACCCGCGTCGCATAGCATGACTACCAGTCATCCGGTGAGTAGTCCTCCTTGCCACACAACACGGCGTTTTTTCCGAGCCATCGCATTCTCTTCAGTATAACTTCGCATTGCGCACCAAATCGTTTTGGCGTGTCCTGCGCCGTTGCGGGCTTCGTGTTACGCTACTCAGCACGACGTCTCAATTTGCGAAACCCTAGAATCAGTTAGCAAGGCTGGTCACGTCTGTTTGGTCATGACCCTCCTTTCGCCAATGCTCTCTACCCTCCCATTTATATCATCCTCGTACATTATGCCTTCCCCGCCGTACATTCCACAATATCAGAGCTTAGTACCTCAAAATAGTGAATCGCAAGCCGCAGTATGCATGAGGCGTCACGCTTCCATGCTCTTACTAGTGCAACTGACGAAAAATTGCTACTACTCACTAGGCATTTCCAGCATCACCTAAAAAAGTTGAGGTCTCAAAACGATCCCCCTAAAAGGGCTTCCGCAAAAGACTGTTAGCGGTTACCCAAAAACGTCTCAAATTTGTCTACACTCCTGAAAGGGACATTCTGGGAATGCCTAGTGGGTAGCATTCTGACTTTTCAGTCGCAAACATTCTACTCCCAGAAACAAAAAAAGAAACGGTAATTAAAGGTATGCATTCTGACTTTTAGGTCTCTGCATGAGCTTCGCTATTGTCTTTCCCAGTCTCGGCCTTCCACATTGCAAGGCTCCCAGTGTACGTACATGGTGCTCGTACATGTGTAAGAACTCAATGTGCAGATTTTGGGGCATTGTTTGGCCTAGACCTTTTACTATGTGCTACGTTCTCCTAAGCTCATTCATCATACTGCCACTGACCTAGCCTGTGACCTAGCTCCTCACTTCTTTCATTACATTATTCTTTGGCCCTCATGCCCATTCGATGGTTACTTTATGTGTGCATTCATGACCATATTCGTGTTTGCACCGAACCCTACCTCACCCCACTCAGATGTGACATACTTTCGTCACTCACTCAAAGTGTACGGCGGTGTGATTGAACGTGAGGCTCAGTCATCAAAGGAGAGTCCAGTGTATGATATGGCTGCTGAAAGAGCGGTGCGGCCACTGATTGACTTCGTCAAAGAGGCGGTGCTGGCAGCATTGAGAGAGGAGTTGGCTGCACACAAGGAGGAGGTGGATGAGTTGCGGCACATGTTGGCAGCGGTGAATGGGGAGTTGGAAGAGGTTAAGGGGGAGTTGGTAGTGGTTAAGGGTGAGTTAGCAGTGGTTAAGAGGAAGTTGGCGGAGCACGAGGACGCTACGGCAGAGAAATTGGCTGAGAGTAGTAGGGCATCGGGTGTATGGGGGGTGAGAGGGAAGGGTAAAAAGCGAAGGCAAGAAACAACAGCCGAGTGTTCCTGGGAGGAGGAGAGGAGGGATGCGCAAGAGTTGCATTGGCCAAGTGTCATGGAGGAATTGGCAGCCTGCAAGGAGTGGCGGCGAATACACGATTTGAAGTTGAATGTTGAGCTGGATATTGTGCGAAGTGAAGGCGACCAGAAGGCTGCGTGGCTGGTGAGACTTGAGTGAACTGGTCTACAGGGCGTGAATTGCTTGCCACCTCTTTCTTATCACCGCGTGCTCATACATACCACTCTTGTAATGCTTTATGTCTTCGCCCGTTTCCTCCAGGCAATCCAATCAGCATCACAGAAGCCAAATCTGGACCTAAAAAATCTCCACCTCTCAGACGCCATGCTCGCCCATGTGTCCACGATGACGCATCTGAAGAGCATTGACTTGCATGGTACCGCAGGTTTTAGTGCAGAGGGCATCAAGCACCTCTATAAGCTTCCGCAACTGGAGAAGCTATTTTGCAACCGCACTGACATATCAAATAATGCCTTGGAAGGCATTCTGTCCTTGACCAGTCTTGCGCACCTCAATCTCTGGGGGACCAAGGTGACCGATGCTGGGCTGGTGCACTTGACAGGTCTCTCCTCTCTCAAGGTTCTAGTGCTTGCTGGTTGCAAGGGTGTGACAAGTGCTGGCATGGTGGATGTGGTGAGACTGACAGGGCTTGATACACTTGCCCTGATTGACACTGCAGTCACGGATGATGGGCTGCAGCAGCTGACTGCCCTGACCAATCTCACAACTCTCTTGCCTCCAGAAGGGGGTTATCTCACTTATAACAGCGTACGGAGGCGGATAGGCTGGTAGGGTGGCAGGGAGTGATGATGAAAGGGGAGGTGAGGTGAGAGAAGAGGTATGGGAGATGGAGGAGAGGTATTGAGTCAAGGGGTGTGAAGAATGGGGGGGGAAATATGCATACCGACGAGTGAGGCATGGGATGGTGATGTGGTTGTGCACGGCTCAACTTGCATGCTGCAGGAAGTTGGAGAATGGTCGCGTGGAACTCGTTCCTTGCAGTTGGGCAGAAGCAGGTACAGGGCTGGTTGGTTGGTCAAAAGACCACTATATGCATGACGGGAGCTGTATAGGAATTTCCTGCCTGGCATCTCTTATGAGCAGTCTCAACCAGGGCGGATGGGGAAGGGGGAAGGGAGCGGGGTCTGTCTAACTAAATTATGTTTTATGTTTATGCCTATATATGTGTGTATGTATGTATGTTTCTATATGCTAGGCATGGTTGGAATTTAGTGAATACAACACTTTCCACTTGTGATCTTTGTAACCTCGTTACTAGCCTCTTGACTCTCTCGACATGGTATTGTGTTACTTTGTGTCGCTTGCACTCCGCTCCTAGTTGCTCCTCATAACTTAGTTTCTAGTCGTTCCTTAGCCTAGCTCTGCCCTTAGCCCGCTCGCAATTGTCCTTCTCGTCCTGCTACGCACTCGCTGCCCTCCGCGTGCTCACTGCCAGCCGTGCGCTAGCTGCAGTGCATGCTCATGTGCACTCGCGAGAGCTAGCAGCCACGCACGTACCTGTGCGCGTCCGCAGTCGCGCGCCTGCCTCTGCCTGCGGTCGCATCTGCCCTGCCCCACTGTTGCCTCGCACGCCGCTGCTACTACTGCCTGCACGCTACCACCGGCACTGCTGCCACCGCCGCCGCCACCACTGCCACTACCGCCATAGCTGCCACTGTGCCGCCGCCGCACACTGCTGCCGTTGCATGCTGCCGCCACCACGGCTGCTGCTGCTGCTACACGCTACTGCTGCCACCAGTAGTACTATAGCAGCCCACGCTCGCACATCAGCCCACCACCCACAACAGCAGCCTGC